GTATTTCTGAAAACTCTTTTGACTGCCATTCATCAACTTTCAATTAGAGAGAAAGAGAGAGGAGAGACACAGAAGTCTCCACTTGAATCCATATGTTGCATGCTGTTGCATGGCGGCCTGCTTCATTTCCCTGCCATCTTTTGTTGCTTTTTTGATCTACAGCCCACACAGACACGACACACACACATAGAACAAGTACAGAGGAACCTCGCGATAAGTGCACTTTTCCATGTCAATCAAACGGCGGCAACAATTGCTGACCAACAAGTCACGCCTCCTTCATCCTCCTTCATCTGTGTATTCTATAGTATCTTCGAGCATATATAGAAAATCTGGTGGCAGCTGCCAATATCAGTCTGCATGTCTGCCTGTCTGTCTGTTGGACAACATTTCACACTCGTTTTCCACGCAGGCCAGTAGGAGGAGGGGTTTTCCCCTGTTTGTCTTTGTCTTTGATTTTGCACCGCCTCCCGCCTTTCGCTTCTTTTCTCTTTTCATTATGATTTCTTGAAAAATTACATTAACTGCAATTCACTATTTCTTTTTTTTTTGTATGTTGTTTTCTGTTACAAGTCTATGATTATATGCTCTATGACTTGTGAAATTGTCGGGTGTCATTGCTGGAACGACGAGGCACGGGGCATGGACACGGGGCACGGGGCACGAGGCACCAGAGTCCAAGTTTGTGTGGCAGGAACGAAAGTTTGGTTCCGTTTGAAAGTGTTCGAATTGCGGGGGGAAATCACCATAAAGTGACTCAAGAAAGGGGTCTCTCGTAGCTAACTAACTGACTAAACGATTCTGATTAAGAATGTTTAGGTTAAGTGAAATATTCTGGCTGTAATTTGAGGCAATTTGATGAAGAAGGTGCTCTTTAAGTTTCGGGACACAGTCCAACAACGCCAGAATCGAGGCATACTTCATAAAGAATATCTCTCGGAGCAATGGATGTCAGTTGGCAGCAAGAGAGCGTGCCCAGATATCCAGAAATCGATGAGAAGTATCCCTCTGGGTTCTCTTTCTTATTTCTGCAGAGGTTCTGTATCTGTATCTGTATCTGCATCTGCATCAGCATCTATCTCTTCTTTAGTCATATTTTATAACCTCATTAGATGGATGGCTTCCTTTTCCTACCATCGCATCCCAGAGGCACCCACCCCACTGCAGTATGAGGCTGCAGTTAAATTTGAGTTGATTTCTTCCTGCATCGTATAGAGAGACAGTGGCAGCAGGCAGAAGGCTATAATTAATTATTATGAGTGGCGGTCTGGCCTGGCCTGGCGTTCGGGGAGTGGCTTTGGCTCATGCCAAGAGAAGCCTCCGGGCTCCGTCCACTAATTAGATGAGTTGAGAGCGTGAAAAAGTCGTATATTCGTACTCCCCATGCTGGTTGCATCATCCAAAGAGGCCGAGAGAGAAAGACACTGGAGAGGTATTTGCAACTCATGCGATGCGATGCGAGACAGATCTTGGACGCTACGACCTGTCCATAACGGCTCTTCGACCTCTATAACGATTCTATTTCCATTTCTATCCATACAAATCGAAACATCGGCTTCGGTATTCGGTACCAAGTGGTTAGCCTGCTTTTCTAATGCTGATTCTCTTCTGCAGTTCTTGGGTGTCTTTTTTGTTGTTGTTGTTGTTGTTGTTGTTGTTTTTTGGGCTTTGAAGAAGAAAGCGTGTAAATTAAACAGGCAGCGAAAGTTCTTTCTTTTCTCGGCTTACTTTTCTCCTAGTATCATTATTTGTATGCAAATTAGCGACGCGCAGCCCAATTCTTTTGTTTGGCAATGTAACAATTATGCTTTCATCTCATCTTTCGATTGTTGCCAAAAACCAAAGACTCTGACTCCGAGGTGGAACAGAAAACAGAAATCTATTTAACAATGTGTTAATTACACTTCGGTCTCACAGTTCTAACAAAAATCAAACCGAGGCATAGAGAGGCGGGAGGGGATGGAATGGGATGGGATGGGATGGAGATTCCCCCTGCCACGGTCCGTTCCGTAACCGTAAAACAAATCTGAGCTTAATCGTTAATTTATGATATTTCTAGCGGTAACCGACAGCCCCCCAACAATCAAGACCCAACCCGGAGAGCGGAGACGCTCCGCTGATCAACGTCATCATCATGGGGGCATTCTTTTGCTTCTACCTCGACTTCTGCTTCGACTTCGACTGCTGGACGATAGACGTTAGAAGATGGGTAGATCATAAACTTTGGATTGTAGCTTCTTGTGTAGCGTTCATTGATTTGCTTTGATTTGATGGCCTTTAAAAGACCATTAACATGCCCAATGCTCGACCATTGGATTGTAATTAATGATTGGTTTTCTCGCATTCGAATTGTTTACTTTATGTAAGACTCTCCGGAAAAGATGGACACGACAGGTGCTATGGGATATATTGATTGGTAGAAAATCCCTGTGTAATCCTTGGCTTACATTCATAAGAAGCGCATAGAAAGGCTCTTGTTGGCCCCGAGATGAGTGTAAATCACAGAGGAGGGAGAGTCACGATTGGCACAACCCTCATGGGAGCATGGGGAACATTTGAGCACGGGAACTAGGAGCAGGGAATGGCCTTAAATGTAACTTTCTCTTAGGCTTAAAGCCTAATCCGAATTCCTTCTTGAGTGCCAGAAATTCCCCAGTGACAAGCCATAATCGGGGGCTCCATTCACAGCGTTCCATTTGATGGAAACGGCATCAAACGATGCTAACCGCACAAAATGCTGTTCGATTAATCTCTGAGTAGAGTGCCGCTCGATTCGATTCGATACAATCCATGGATCGACCGATCGATGGATCCAACAAACAAACAATTAAAGACTTCATTAGAGTTGTCGTCTCGGCGGGGCCTTGCAACCCATTTAGGTGCGGATATGTGATTGCAATTTTAATTAGGAACAAACCAGAGAGATAGAGAAAGAGCAGAGCGGTAGAGGGAGAGGGAATAACCACCCATTGCTGAGCGGAGAGTAAAGCATTTTCATTTAGTTTAAATTCTCTTTTCATTTCAGGTGAGTCTCGTCTCGGAAGAATCTGCTTAGAACACTGGAACGTGCAACCTGTTCGTTCCTCTGCGGCTCAGCTCTCTGTTGAGTGAGTTGCTCAACCTGCTGCTGTCGATTGGATTGGATTGGATATTGGATGGCCAATTGGTCGAGGCGATGGCTATGTGTGTCGTCGTCGATCGCGCATGTGGCCATAAATTATGTCGTTGTGCACCGGAGAGCCAGAGTCACAGTCCGAGTCTGAGTCCGAGTCCCACTCAGACGAGGAGTCGTCGCTGCTGGTTCTCTGCTCCCCCTTTCTGCACGCCCCGTAAAAGTTGTAGCTGCCACCAATCATCATAGTTAGGTGCACATCAAAATTTATAGGTCAGTAGTGGCAACAAATTGCACAGGCATTCCAATGCCCGATGCCGATGCCTGACTGCCAGACTGCCTGCCCAAATCAATGGTGATTCCCAAGCCCCATCTGAGATGCCCTCCATCTTCATCTTCGCTGCCTCTGGCTCTGGCTCTGGATCTCCTTCTGCTGCATCTAATAAGGCTTGACCAGTTCTCCCTTGTCCATGTCAACGATGACTGGTGGTTCCCCCGAATGCCCCCTCCCCCCCCCCCAAAAAAAAAGAAGAAACAAAACGATGGCTAAACCAAACAACCAAACACTGACCCACTCAACAATGGTACTCCGATATTATGGTACTGAAAGTCACAGTCTCCGTCTCCGTCTCCATCTCTGTTTCAGATGCGACTCCCAGTTGCTCCCTAGAGCTGGGTGCTGGGTGCTCGGATCTGGGATCTTTCTCCCAGCCTTATGACAATCGATTTGCAATGGAAAGCCAATGCCTGGAGGCGCTCCATTTATAACAAGTGGCCGGCTTTTGGCCAACTATCCAAGTCAGTTGGCTCCACTCCGCTCTGGTTGGTCCTATGATGGTCCCTCTGTAACTCTGATCTTTTTGTTGCAGCTCTTTCCCTGCCTCCTGCCTCCTGCCAGCGATGTTGCTGTTGCTGTTGTCATTGTCGTTGTCATCGCTTGCTTGCTGCCTGCCTCTCGTTGTGGCTGGCGATAGTTTGAGAGTCAAGTTGTTCCAATAATTCCGCATTTGACATTCAACCGGGGGTTTTACCCGAGGTTCTACTTGTGTTTTTTTGTGTGTTTTCGTCTGTCCGAAACGGTTGTTGTTTTTGCTGTGTGTTGCTGTAGGATGTCTCTGTCTCTTGGTCTCTTGGTCTTTTGGTCTCCTGGTCTCTTGGCCCATTGTCTTGGGAAATATTGTATGTATCTTCCAGATACATTGACAGGCCTTCGCCTTTTACCTTTACCTTTTCCTTTCCCGTTTTTCTTTTACTATTTCCCCATTTCCCATTTCCCCTTTCCCCTTTCGAACATTTGTGGTCAATCGCTAATTAAGCCAAAGAATGGTCTATCTTTTGACTGCTGATGGGAGATTGAAAGAGATCTCTAGGTATCTCAAAGATCTCTCTGAAGGGAATTATAGGGATCTTATAGCATTCCTTTGGGAATTGTTTCTCTTGAAAAGATCTGTGGGATGCAATGATCTGTAAACTAATTACAGGGTGCGACCTTTAGTCTGTATCCTAGAGATGTTTATGTTTCAATATCACTTCTAAAAAAAACTTTCAACACGATCTTAGGGAGTTCCTTAACGTTCATTGAATTTGGGGAAATGTTATTCACACAATGATCCTTTGTTGTAATGATCTTTAACCTAATGTCTGAGCTAGATTTTCCTTCTGTAGATTTGTAGATCTTCTAGTGATCCTAGAGCTTATTGAAATTATGAAGGACATGAAGCCCTTTGAAAGATCCTTGGCTTGTAATGATCCCTAACTTAATTTCAGGAGTAGCTATTTATTCCCATCTGCTATCTAGATCCTACAGTACTAGTAACAGTACAGTAAGGTCCTATGCTACAGGTATATGTAGATCCCATTAAGCCTTAACCTCGATAAAAATTCTTACCTTATTATCCTTGTTGTTGACCGCTGATCCCAGCTTCTGTTGGTAATACTCCTCGCGTGCATTCGTGCTGAGGCTGTCGATGAGGGCCGAGGCATTCACATGGCCATCGTAGACGAGGCTATCCTGCTGCTGGGTGCTGTATGTGGAGGCAGCTGCTGCTCCTCCTGCTGCTGCTGCAGAGGATGAGGCTGCTGCTGCTGCCGCTGCCGCTGACAGAGGAATGTTGGCCTGTGGAGTCCGTGTGTACAGCTGCTCGATGGGCAGGCCGGGATTCGCTGAGTTTGTGGTGGCCGATGGGAGGGCAGAGGATGATGATGGGGCCGAGGATGATGCACCAATCGAAGGCGTCACCTTCGTCTGCAGCGGCTTCGTCTGCTGTTTCTGCTGGTAGGCAGCGTTGGTTGAGAGCTTCTGCTTCTGTGTGGTGCTTCCGCTTGGGGGCTTGGAGGCAGCCGCCGCACTGGCCGCCGCAGCACTGTTGCTGCTCGGACGCTGGGCGCCGCGCTTGAGGGCCGTCGTGACCTTGTGGCCGAAGGGTCGCTTGGTGGCCTGGCGGTGCTTCAGCTTGCCCATCGTCGTGAGGGTGCGCTGCTGGCTGCCCGCATTCGTGGCTGTGGTGGTGGTGGTGCTGCTGCTGCTGGGATCCGCATCTGCAGCCGTGATGGCTGCAATGTTGTTGTTGGAGCGGGCAGCCACGAACTGATCGTCCGGATCGGTGGCATCGGTTAGGGCCTCGTCGCTGGTTGTGGATGCTGCCGCCTGGTCCTCCTCCTGGGACTGGGAGTCGTCTGTCTCCTGGCTCATCTCTGGCTGGGTCGTGAGATTCGCAGAGGTCGTCTCACCCGTCTCCTCCTCTTCGTTGTGGTCACTGGTGCCTGTCCCTGCCGACTCTTGGCTGAAGTCCGTGGTGGTGGGCAGGTCCTTCATGAGGGTCGTCTGCTGCGTGACGGCTGCCTGCAACGCGGCCTGCTCGTTCATCGTGTGCTGCAGCTCCAGGAGCGTCGTCTCATCGAGGAGCAGGGTCGGGTCTGTTTCCGTCTCCGTGGAGCCAGTGGGTGGCAAGGTGCTCTGCTCCTCCGCCTGTTCTTGCTCCGTTTCCGCTTCCGTTTGCTGCTGTTGGGTCGTGGAGGTGCTGCTGCTGCTGGTGCTGGTGCTGCTGCTTCTGGTGGAGGTGGCCTCCTGCTGGCTGAACTGCTGCTCCTCGATGTCCAGCGACTCCTTGAGTCGCGCCACCCGCTCTACGATCCTGGCCAGCATATCCTTCTGCTGCTCGGGCAGGTTCTTGGTGTCCAGCTCCAGCAGACGGTCGTACTTCCGGATGTTCCGCTTCACCGTCTCAATGTCCGCCCGAGTCTTGGCCGAGGGGGGGCTGGGCTTGGCCTTGGGCTCCTCCTCCTGGAAGTAGGCGCGTGCCCTGCGATTGCTGTAGCCCACCAGCTCGATGACACCGGGATAATCGGAAGCGGAGGCGGACGTAGCCACAACGAGGACCAGAGCCACCAGAGCCAGGGAGCAGCTCCAAGCGGTGCCACTACTCAGAACCATTTTGGAAAAAAAAAAATCACTTAGCACTTGGGTTCTATATTCTATTCTCCTTTTTTGTGTTGTGGTTTATTTTTGTTGTTTGCACTCGCGAATCACGTATTTTTCGTGTATTTCTCGTATTTCCTCCCCCTCTTTAATCTGCTGTCTCTCGTCCCTCGTCTATCTTCTGTAGCGGATTAATGTCAACTAACTGTAACTCTGACGCTTTGACAGCTCTCTCGGAAAACACGCTCTGCTCTCTCTTAAAAAAAAAGGCGAACCGCGAATCCAGTAATCAGGAGGAATGGAATGGGGGAATCTTCTGCCACTTGATGCTGCTTTGGGGATAGTTTTCTATGCGTCTCGGTGTCGGTCTTCGGGCCACGATCCGCAGACGACTAATGTCGGATTACAAATGTTCCAGGCCGCTGGACTGCAGCGTCTTTTAAAAATTTTCAAAGCGGAAAACGCATCGCGTCAGAGTCGCGCAAAGAGAAGACTTTTCTCCCATGGCCCCCAGCCCCCCCACCACCCGGTCACGGCCACAAGTTGTTCTTTCACCAAGTTCATGGCTTAGACCGGTTTGAAGCCAACATGTTGCATGCCGCCGCGATAGCAATCGCAGAGAGTCTCGCAACCACACACACAGAGAGAGAGAGAGAGAAAGAGAGTGGGAGAGCGCTTTCTTTCTAGTAAATGTTGCTGAGCTTCAAGCAGATGTTACCAAGCAACAAGCACATGCTCCTAAGCTTCCATCAAATGTTGCGAAACTTGTATGTTCAAATGTTCCCAAGCTTTGATCAAATGTTGCAAAGGTTCCACTGACAAATGATCCTTGCCACCGCCTCTGGGGGGCATGGATTTAATTGCATGGCCCGGCACACGCCTTCCTCTAAGAATAACCATCCAGCATGAGCATGAGCATATAGTATCTCCCTCCGATCGCTGCCATCTACGGTATATATTCCCCATTCAATTAGTCATTCCACAAACGCACACACTCGGAGGCACCTCTGTTTTGGCCTGGTTCTTCTATGTGGCTCTCTGTTTCGGTTTCTGCTGTTCGGCTGTTCGACTGCTTTCGCTTCAATGTCAACTCAGAGGCTCGTTTAGCCTGTCATCGATTTGGTAGACGACTGGTAGAACCAGACACCATAGAACCATAGAGCCGCTCCTCAACACCTCTCCCGAACACACGGCAGCACCGGAACCTCCGTTCTGGCATGGATCCCAGATCTCAGATCTGAAAATTCTACTCTTTTTTCCCTCGTCTGTTCTGGTCTGGTCTGGTCTGGTCTGGTCTGGTCTGGACTTGTCTGCTGTGTGATGTACAATTTAGTTAAATGCTTTCGTATTAAACATAATTTGTCGCGGCCTTCTTAATTGTAGATTGGGAAATAGCTATGTTGTCTTCTCTTTTCGTTCTCTCTTTCTTTCTCTACCTTTCTCCACTGCCACTGCCATTGCCATCTCCATATCCAAATCCATGTGATCTATAGTCCAGAACGTGCCCTGATCCACTAATGAACTCCAGATTCATTTCCATTTCAGGGTGTTCTCATATTTGTACTCTAATTCATCAACTGGGGTATGCTGGCACTTTAATGTGGTTTGTGGTGTGTTGATAGGGAAAAGCATTGAAACTGTATGAATTTCCACCTCTCAAATATGCTTAAACTATCATTAATATGCCACATATATGATAACCCTACACTTAATTGTTCTAATAAATTAATTCAAAGCCCACTTTCCCAATCTTCCAATCCAACTTCCATCCATTCCTCGTTATCATTCTGTAGAGTATTTATGCATTCATTCAGCATACTATTACTAGAGAGTCTAGAGTCTAGTCTAGTGCTCGTCTATTGCCTGGGAACTGCAATAAAACAATCACAAATAAGTTATAAGAAAACGAACCTCAACCAGGGACCAGAGACCAGAGACCCAACCAAAGTGGAGCTCAGGCCGGAGCTCCGTTCCGTTTGGAGCTCTGGAACTGTGCAGTAGCAGGGCTGCAGCTTCCCCATTTTTCACGTAGCCGCGCAATGAAAGAAAACCGAGCGTTAATTAAAAAAATAGCCATAGATCAATGCACCTGATAGATGCGGGAAATGTTTGTTCTGCTGCTGCTGCTTCTGTGGATGTTGCAGTGGCAGTGGCAGTGTTGCTCTTGCCGTTGGCTGTTGTTCCCCCGTCCAAGGTTGGGGGGCTTGCCTCTGCGGAAATTTGCCAGCGGCAAATGTGGTATAATTTGTGAGAAAAAGGCTTGGTTCCTTAGCCCTATTTAGAGCCCCATGCCCCATGCCTCATACACACCTGGTACGAGTAATAGACGTAAAGAAAGAGAGCCTCAAGCGATCCTCAGAAGAAATATCGTTTATTACGAATCCGAAGGGAGAGAGAGAGAGGAAGGTTGACAAGGCTCCAGGCGCTTCCTTCATTAGCATCGACGGGGGAAAAACCCGTCTCTGGGGCTCTGTCTCTGACTCTGTCTTTGTCTCTGACTCCGAAGCATTTAGTTTGGGGGCTCTCTGACACACATAAGGCGTTTACAATCATTATGGGATAAATGCCGCAGCAGTTGTAGTAACTCCTCCTGCCGCATGTTGCAGTGCCACTGCTGCCACAGCAACAGCAACAGCTACAGCAGTGAGTGGGTGAGCGCTGCAGTTGCGTGGTTGCAATGCAACTTTCTTCTCGTCTCTTATCTTTTATGCATATGCAGCAGCAGCAGCAGCAACGCAATGGCGGCGTCTGCATTCTTTGCTAGCCATAAAATATGCGACCAACCGACGATCATCCAAGTGCAACTGCAACAAGAGGCTGCTACAGCAGCAACAGCCGCCACTCTTGAACTTTACTGAGCGATGAAAATGCTCTGGCTTTGGCTCTTGCCCTTTCTCCCGGCTGCTTTTCCCCCATCGTCCCCATCTTCTGCTGTTTAGCATGAGCCTGGGCTCTCTGAAAGACAGGGCTTAAATGGGAAGGGGGGAGGAGGTGAGGTGAGGTGAGACCATGACTTCGAGAGGGAGTTGGGCCTAAATGAGGGAGTGAGACGCAGACGCTGCCGCACGATGTTGCTGCTGCTGCTGCTGCTGCTGCTCAAGTGCCAATAGCAATCTTCTTTGTAGAAATACCCTTTCAGAGGCTAACAGGACTTCAAAGCAATGTTTGCCAGGCAGAAAAGGAAGCAACTGCCAAGGGGACCTACGATTTTCCAGTGTGCCATCAGAGTCGGACTCAAAGAAAGCCTCGCTTTCCTCTTTTTGTGGCTGCTTTTCTTTCTGCTGCTGCTGCTGCTGCTGCCGCTGTTGTTTATTTCCCCCCGGTTTGATCTTTTGGTCTTTGGCGGTAATTTTTCCTGTGCAACTTTTTCCTTTTGGCCAAGAAGAGACTTTATTGGCTTTCGGTTCGGCGGTTCGGTGTTCGGATCGGCCTTTGCCTTTCGTTTGCTTCTTGCCCAATGTTTTATCTGCAGAAGTTTTGTCTTCATTTTTATTTTAATAGTGATCTTGATACTGCTCCACCGCCTCGCCTCCATTCCAGAGTCCTCCGCTCTCCACTCTGGAGAGGGTCTCGCGGTATCGCCGTCTTTATCACATAATGATTTCAAATGGTGCGAAATTAATTTGAATTATTACTGTTATTAGCTGTTATTTCCAGTGTAATGGCCATGGCCATGATCGCTGGCCCAACAAACTACAGTTATGGGAAGGTGCAAGAGATGGATCTGTAGATGAAAGTTGCCTCCGAGTGGCTGCTGGTGGTGGTGCTGCCGCCTCTCCTTCATGGCTAATGCACTCCCCAGAGAAATGCCAACAAATTCAGTGATAAGCAATGCAAATGGGATGCTGCAACATGACTTGGTCGGGGCTTCAATTACCAATTGTTTTAGACCGTTTAAATGACAGCCACAGCCACAGCAGACAGCACACAGCACAAGAGCATAGAGGCATTGTTGCCTCTCTCTGTGGCTCTCTGTGGCTCTCTGTGGCCACATTTAAATTTATTAAAACTGCACCAAGTTCTAACGGACAACGGACAAACGTTTGGAATGTGCAACATGTTGTTGCTGCCACAGCCACAGCCACTGCCATTGCCCATTGCCTCTCTTGTATGTGGAAGCTGTTGGTTCTTCCATGACCAAAGTGATCTTACATCTTGTGGCATCTGGGAAGCAGGAGCATTTCCACTGGCGCTTGGCTCTTGGCTCTTGGCGCTTTGCTCTGGCTTGGCCATTTACAATTTCCATCATTTTGCATGCAATTTAATGCCATTTGTCATTTGCTTAATTGTGCCCAGGCTCTCTGTGTGTTTCTCTGCATTTCCTGCCTGACTCCATCGATCCAACCATCCATCCATCCGACCATCTATGGATACATCCATCCATCCGTCCATGCTGCTACGCTGCCATTCGCTGGCTGTCCGTTCTCCCAGTTCCCAGTTCCTGCCTTCTGCTGCCATACCGTTTCTAATTGTGGCCAGGCACGCAGTGATTACACTGACAGAAACGACATGTTTCGGAGAAATCTCGAAGAATTATGGCGAAAGATGATGTGCGAAAGGGACAGGTGTATGCCAACAAAATATGCATCCATTTTTAAAGATAGTTCAATCGTGTATCCATTATTAGAACAGTCTTTAAAGAAGCCTACTCGAAAATATATCCATAAATCGATATCAATCTGAAGTCTCCCATAGAAATCTTTAGATTTTAAATAAATTCTTCAAGTTTCTATTCGGGGATGCCTTGGGGTTCCTTTTTTCAAGATCCTTCTTTCAGGCTGCCCAAATTCTTCGAATAGGATTTGCTGACTTATTCTTGCAGTGTTTTTCGTTGGATTGCTGCAATCAATGGCTCAGTCTCTGGCTCCGACTTGGGGCCCATTTAGTTTCAATTAATCAAGTTGTCGCTGCACGCGTCTATTAGCTGTTTATGACACAACTGTGGTCAAGTCCATGGCTTTTGAGCAGCAGTGCCACCAGTGCCAGTAGGGGCAGCGGCAGTGGCAGTGGCAGTTGCAGTTGCAGTTTCAGAGAGTCCAAA